CTGCTCCCCTCCCCTCTCCTCTGCTCTGCTCTTCTTTTCCCTGCCTTCCTTTACCACTCCTTCCTCCCTGGTACAGTTTATTTTTGACCAGGGAAAAGCCACTGTCGCCTTTAACGATAGCTCTGGGAAACGAATGCTCCCAGTGTGGGCTGGTTCTGGTCCTCTCTCCTGCCGCCCTGTCTCCCTGGGAAGCCGGAAGGACCTCTGCTGTGACTGATACTCGGCTTTTCTGGGAGGTTTGTGAAGCTGTGGTCTCTTTCATGGCATGAAGTTTCACTGTGCACTCTTACGAAGTTGATTATTTCAGGGACTCGCTGTGTATGTCTATTATCTGTTTTACTATTTGAGTGGCCATAATTCTGAGCTTATATAAATAACATAAATTATAAATAAACATAAATTTATAAATTCCACAGTGGGGTTTTAAATGTTACTTAGTAACATTACAAAAGAAATTATATTATTTAATTTTACCATAATAGAAATATTTTAATGTAGTCTAATCACAGGCTATTACTTAAAAGCAAATATCTCAGAAGCCTCATAAAAGATTATTAATATTTTTAAAAATAAACCACCTAAGATTTTATGTTATATTAAATGTTAATGATCTGACTTATAAATTATATTTTTAAGTCTTTTGTCTTTAAAGAGAAATATATATTTTATGGAGTGTAATAAATCTGATCAGCTAATTGTACTTGCCAGTTGTAGCAGTGAAGAAAGAAATGCTGGATAAATGTGCTATACAAAGAATCAGTTTCAGTTCCCGGTGTCATTAAATCACGAATCAAGTTCCTTGCTGGCTTCTTGCCACTGGATTGGTGGTGCTAACTATAGTCACCTCTCTCATTTCCACTGCACATTTGTATCAGTCTTGGTCTAATCATGGAAGAGGAAAAACACACTGTATTTTGAAGCAGTGAAAGTTTATTTTTAAATGAATCATTAATTCTCTACTTAAGGACTGACTAGAATTACAGAGAACGCTGAAGAACGTAGGACTAGCAGGTGTGTGATGATGACCCCTAAGGCTGAGGTCCCAGAAAGGTCCCGGATCCCCAGTCCCGCTGTGCAGAGACCCGGACTCCTTCTTCCAGAGAAGGTGGCGGTGGCTCACTGAGGCAGAGAGGTCTCCTTGCCGCGTGCCAGTGGCATCTACCGGTCACCCTCCTTATGCGCCAGGTGTCTGTAGAAGCTGTGCCACACACACACTTGGGGTTCACCGCTGGTCTTGGGGCAGGGGAAGCTGCTGGCTCCTGGAGCACAGGGAGCTAAGGCCCAGCAGCACAGCAGGAACCAGACGCCAGGAAAGCTGCAGGGGCCCGGGAGCCCTGAGTGCAAACCACAGCCGGGTGGAGTCTCTCCCTCCTCTGCCTCTGCACCACCTGTGCAGAGCCGGAAGGTGGGCCAGCGGTGGCTGGTGGTGAAGACTAGCAGAGGCCGCGATCTGTTTCCACGGAGCCAACCAAAGGGGCATTTGGAGGTGAGAGGGAATCAATGTGTACTCATGTGACGCTGAAATCAAGGCCCAGGGTCGTTAAATTTTTAGCCATCACTACGGCGTTATCGTGGGGTCAGACGTTGCAGAGAAGTATGCGAATTTGAATGGACACGTCCGTGGGCTTGCTTGTTGCACGACTGTAGTGTTACAAAGGGAAGAATATTTTACATTACCGGGACTTAGCAGATACAAATTGAAAGACTTAAAATAAAATAAATTTACCGTATCAGTTACATCGCCTGTGCCAGTAATTGGATCTTGGGGGAGTGCTATATTTAAAGGAGCTGTTTCATGTAAATGTGATTAGTCATTTAAAATGAATAAATCATCTCCCTACATTGTCACTAATAGGAAGGGAATTTCACAGCCAAGGAGGGACTTATTGTATATATTTTCTGACTTATTCTAATTGGCCAGCTTATCGTGGTTGGCTAATAAGCCTGACTCTCTGTACAGTTCTTCATAATTTGCATGGTTTCTCAATAAAGAAAAGAGCAAAATAGATTGGGGTGTGGACGTCTTGTGAATTAGCAGTATTCCTAAGAGTCGTGTGTCTCTCCATGTTCAGGAATAGAGAGAGAGCCTTCACCAAGGCAAAGCCACCATCCAATTCATCGGTATTTATTGTTCTCCATGAGTTCTAAGCTGTGTTCACACATACAGCTTTATGAAGCATTTCAATTAAAGCAAATGTAGATTAAATTAGAATAAGTATAAATTAATTGCCTTAAAATCAATGCAACTAAGCTCAGAAGCTTCTTGTGATGATCATTAAAATATGAAGGCTGTAAAATCACACAAATCATTCACTGGATTTAGATTAGCTCACACCATTCAAATAAATTTAAAGAAAACAATTTCAAAGCCATTATTTTAATTACACTTCAATCTTGTAATTATACTTTCAATATGGATTTTCCATTATCAACTATATGCATGTGAAAGTTAACAAGTCACACTCTTTCAGGATAACAAGCCTATAAAAGTAATCTTTTAGAGACTAAGAGATAATTGCATTGAATGAAAATATAGGAATCAAATAATTGAAAGCCAAATTTCCATGAGTGGTACATACATTTTCCTATTTTAAAAATTTATTTTTATCTTTATTAAATTTATTGCTACATTTTAGGTATGCAGTACATTCCTCATTGGTTCTCCCTGTTTACAAAGACATTGTTTTCATATTTTTCCTTTTCACATATTTTTTCTTTTCCCTTTTTATCTTTCCCCTAACCTTCCTACTTCCTTATTAAACTTTTACTTTTCCACACCAGACAAACTATTCAGTATTTACACATGTGTAACATTAATTTCACTTAAGACTATGGCTTCAGTGTACATCCACTTAGCTATAAATCTCTGTAGTTTTCATTCTGAGAAGTACTCCATTTTATAAAACAAACAAAAAAACAAACAAAACACATCTTCTTTATCCAGTCTCCAGTTGATGGGCAATTGGGTTGTTTCCAAGCTGTAGCTATTACAAACTGTACCACTATAAACATGGGTGAGCATATATTGCTGTGATATGATTCTTTTAATTCTTTCAGGAAGATACCCAGCAGAGGAATAGCTGGGTCAAATGGGATTTCTAATCCTAGTTGAGTTATCTCCATGTTGATTTCCCTAGTGGTTGCACCAGTCTGCACTCCCACCAAGCATGAAGAAGGGTTCCTATCTCCCCACAACCCAGCCAGCATTTGTTATTGGTTGATTTCTTGATAGCAGCCATTCTTTGTGGGGTGAGGTGGAATCTCAATGTTGTTTTCATCTGTATCTCTCGAATGATCAGTGATGTTGGACATTTTTTATAGGATTATTTCTTGCTTTTACTTCTTCATCTGAGAAATGTCTGTTCATTTCAGGTGCCCACTTTTGAATTGGGTCTTTATATTTGGGGGGTCTGATCTTTTTGAGTTCTTTATATATTCTTTTTTTTTTCTTTATATATCTTGATAGTAGACCATTGTCTGAAGAACAGCTGGTAACAAAATTTTTTCCCACATTGTGGGTTGTCTCTTAGCCCTGCTTGTGATTTCTCTGATAATGCAGAAGCTTTTTAAAAAGATGAGATCCAAATTGTTGATTCTTTGTGCTAGTTCCCAAGCTACTTAGGATTTGGTCATAAAGCCTTTTCCTATGCCAATATCTTCAAGTGTTCTACTAACCTATTTTCTAGCAAGTTTAGTGTTTCTATTTTAATATTTAGATCTTTAATCCACTTGGATTTTAGTTTAGAGCACAGTGAAAGACACGGGTCTAGTTTTTATCTTTGACAAGTTGAAATCCAGTTTTTCCAACACCATTTATTAAAGACACTATCTTTCCTCCAGAGAGGTTGTTTGGCTCCTTTGTCCAAGAGGAGGTAGTTGACTATGTCAGGAAATGTTTCTGCATCTTCTAATCTTTTGCACTGATCCTCCATTCTGTTTCTTTGCCAGGACCATGCTGCTTTTATCAATGTGGCTTTGCAGTATAGTTTCCAACTGGGGATTGTGATACCCCCTGCCATGTCTCTGTTGCCTAGAATTGCTTTTGCTTATTCTATGTCTTTTCTGATTCCAAATAAATATTTGGATTGTTTTCTCAAGTTCTATGAAATATACTGTTGGGATTTCAATAGGCATTGCATTGAATCTGTATAGCAGTTTTGGAAATACGGCCATTTTCACTATATTGATTCATCCTATCCAGGAACAAGGGATCTTTTTTTTCATTTTCTTATATCCTCTTCATTCTCTCTCTCTCTCTCTCTCTCTCTCTCTCTCTCTCTCTCTCTTTAAAAGTGTAGTAGTTCTCAATGTAAGGGTCTTTTGTCTCCTTCGTTAGATTAATTCCTAGATATTTTATTTTTTGGATGCTGTTGTGAAAGGGATTGTTTCTCTCCTTTGACTCTCAGTGAGAGTGTTATTTGTGAACTAGAAGGGTATTGATTTTTTACTATTTCCCTTGTATCCAGCTACTCTACTGAATCTGTCAATCAAGTTCAGAAGTCTGTTGGAGGAGTTCTTCGGGTCGTCTATGTAGAGTATCATATCATTGGCCAATAATGACAGTTTCACTTCTTCCTTTTCTATCTTTATTGGTTTTATTACTTTCTCTTGTCTACTTACTGTGGCTGTTTCCAAAACTCTATTCAACAGGAGTGGTGATACATTTTCCGTAGAGTTATATTCTCAGTTTAAAATGAGAGAGACTCTGGCTGGACATCTGGTAAACCTGGTACTTCAGCAGCCGGCGCCTGCTGCATCTGCAGGTTATTTGTCACACACTGGAAATCAGACCTGACTTGGCTGCTTTGCTCCTGTGATGCTGCATTTTCCACTTTGACAAAGGCAATTCTGGTTGAAGAAAAATGGAACCTCCCATTTGAACTCTGGTGTAAAGAAGTGGAATTCTGTGGTCTGAAGCACTTTGTGCTTTTTCAAGTTTTACAGTATTTTTGTAGAACATTTATAAAAATTTTGATCTAATTTCTGTACTTTTTTCCTAGCTTCTCCATGGGTAGATAACAGTAGAACTCCAAACAAGATCGACCTTTATGATGTACGCCGGAGGCCATGGTAAGGATTTTTAGCTGACCATAAAAAAATGAGGTGGACAAAAGGAGTGCATTTCCATTGTTAGGATGAGTATTACCTGATTATATAGCATGCTCATATTTTTAAAATTAAATATAGCTAAAGGTAAAGGATAGTGGGGAGTCAGAGTGGGGGCGATGCAGAATGTTGGAATGGCTGCTGGAGTCCATTTCAAATGGGCCTTGTTTGGATCTGTGCTCACTCACATCCTGCTCTGACCTCCCTTCCGGTGGTGGGGAAGTTTCAGGGCTGCTGGTTTGCTTGCAGTGACTCCCTGGGGCAGAGGTGTGGTACAGGTAGGACTGAGTTTGCCTCTGGCCATGAACTAATGCAAGCCAACCCCCAAGTGGGAGCTGCCCTTGGTTATAGTCCTTCAATAGAGGTTTTTGCCTATTCCAGAAAGAATTTCTACTTGCTCCCCACAATTTAATCATTCATTTTTCTAACGCAGACCTTGAAAAATATCAGTAAGCCATACTTGGACTCAGTTGGAAACAATTACCAATTTGGGGACATTTTACTAGTAATTGGGCTTTGACTATTTTAAAAATATACTTAATGTGTGGATATTTCTTTCCTAATGTGTTCACTTTGGGAACAGCGCAGTGTTTTGCACTTTCCTCTTTTCTTAGCAGTGCCTTGGAGTACGTATTTATGACAAGAGACACCTCATATCATTTGGAAGTAGACTGTATGGTAATTTTTAAAAGGAAGTCCCTATTATTGGATATTTGGGGTGTCTTGAACTTTCTGCTGGGTTCAGGCAAACCCTAAGTAGCATACTTGTTGATTCGAAGGACGTATGAGACTTTTCATTGCCTTATTAAAGGATCCCAGGAGCAGCTTCCCTGGACGCCAGCAATGTGACTGCTGTTAATGTGAGCGTTCCTTGTGGTGGTATTTCTCCAGCGTAGGAAAACCTGAGGAGCTGTAGGCTGTTGAGTGGAGGCAAAGCTAGAATGTTACATGGATTGGATTTAGAAATTGAGCACTTGGAGAGAAACATAGAAGCTAGAAGCTAACCGTGAGAAGCAGACAGGATGCTCTGCTTGCTCCTCCCACTGAGAAGCACAGGTGTAGGGGCGGTGCTTTTACAGGGATGCCCCTGCCATGCTGCCCTCAGGGAAACAAGCGTGGGTCAGGATCGAACTCACCACTCCACGGACAGGGAGTCCTCTGCAGACTGCACTAATGCCTCCATTGCTGAGGGCTGCCAGGCAAGTCTCTGGCACCCTCTGGGTGCTGGATCTGCAAGGAGGAGCAGGAAATGAGCAGGAAGCTGAGCTCAGGCTCAGCGGCCTAAAGGGGAGCAGGGCCACTGCTTTCTGCCAGGCTGTGGCCAGGCGAATGAGTGTTTCTGGTCGCTGAAATTCAGTTCTTCCACAATCAGTGAACCATCTGCGTGAAACTCCTAGAGTCTCTCTGTGCTGCAGAGATCCTGAGTTTGAGGGGCTCTGGCTGAATTTGAGGACCAACATTTGAAACTCATTTGCCAGTTGACTCTCAGTTGGATACAGAAGTTTTGGGAGCTGCCACTTGAATTGCTTCGTAATAGCATTGCATATTACACAATATTTAGTTACCTTACTGCCCTTTGGTATGTATTTTTATTGCTATTACCCTTTTTTGGTTTTTAAAACACTTTCTATTTGGATTTTATTTTGTTTTTTGTTTATGTCTTTTTGATTCAGGGTCTCCCTGTGTAGTACAGGCTGACCATGTGATCACAGTGACCCTCCTTCCTCTGACTCACAAGGGCTGTTATTGCAGACACGCGCCACTATGCCCAGCCCTAGACCACTTTTTAAAAGTGCCTACACTACCTGTTTTTTGTTTCTACTTTTTGTCTTCAGTATTGTGACAATCTGTTATTCACTGGGTTACTTGATATCTGTGGTCAGTAATTTGAGTTCAGGATAATACATTTCCTATAATTTCCTCTGTAAGCCAATCTTTTCTCAGGGAAGAAAGTGCTCTTCTGCAACTTAATTTCCTTTATCACTGGCATTGATCTCCCTCTTTTATAAATATCTGGAAAATATACTTTAAATATGACATCCTGTGATCTCTATGTTAGGTTAATCAGAACCTTTTGAAACTGAACCTGCAGAATGTGAATAAAAGAATATTTTGTGCAGAGACAGAATAGCAACAGTTCACTGTCTGGGAACAACTTATCTCAGAGACCCATAAATGCAGGTGCAGCCCCTGTTAATGTTTGATGGAGTGCAAGAGAGAAAATATCCATGTCACATTTGTTTCAGGTACATCCAAGGTGCGGCATCTCCCAAGGACATGCTCATCCTGGTGGACGTGTGAGTAGTCGGTGCTGTGAATTTACAGGTGGGGGTGAATCTGTAGGTAACAGCGGGTCAGGACTAAGAAACGTGTGATAGGTTAAAAAATACCCAGTCAGTGTGATATTTTCATATCCAGACAAGCCATACTAAGACAAAAATAAAACCAGCAAAAACAACTTGACTGAAATGAGGAGAATCACACGTAAAGGTAAACCACAACAGAACATGACAGCATTGCTCTAAAATCAGAGCTTCTGAAAAAATTAGTTATTGGCTTCCGATGTCTGCTTTACATTGAGGACAAAATTAGCATACAGTATTGCTAAAACAAAGCAGTTCCTGATACAGCAAAAGAAAACAGGACATTTAATCAGCACCTAGTCAATTATGATTCACTTCACTTTTAGGGTTTTGGCCCCAAAATAAGTAGTAAATACATGAAATGTTTGAACTGGGGCTTTTTCAGAGGACATGCTCGCAGACAAGAAAAAAAGTCCTAGTGTTGTTCACTGACCCTTTTGTTTACTTGTTCCATTTCCTGAGGTGAAGGTGTGAGGGAGGCTTTGTGGTCTGAGGTGGGAATGGGAGCTGTGCTGGCAGTGAGAGCTGCCAAGAGAGAGGGTCGTGGAGGGAGGACAGCTGCAGACAGCTTCCTCGTTCCTGCTCCGAGTCAGCAGAGGGCTCCTGGAGCCAGGGCTCTGCCTCCTGACCTCTGCCCTCCCTTCCACCCTGACTGTCAGAGCCGGTGTTGATCAGGTCTCTCTGGATGAGGACTATCCCAGAGTGTCCATATTTCTATTTTAAATTGTCACTTGCCGTTTAACCTTGCTAGTTCATTTAGAAATGCATGCTGACACTGGCAGGAAAGGAAAGCAGTCTTTCTCGTAAGGTCCACTGTGCCCCAGGATCTGGCGTTTTCTACCTGCTTTGGGTACGGACTACTTGGGGTCGATGGCCCCGGACTGGTATGTGTGCTGTGTTGCTTCGTCACCAGTGAGCAGCCGGGGACCCCCTCTCTGTCTCTTCACAGGAGCGGGAGTGTTAGTGGCCTGACGCTGAAGCTGATCCGCACGTCTGTCTCTGAAATGCTGGAAACGCTCTCAGACGACGACTTTGTGAACGTAGCTTCGGTGAGTTTGCGATGCCCGCGTTTCCCTGCGTTACCCCTGACTCTCGGTGCTGCAGCTTTTCACTATGTGCCGAGGGACCCCTGATACCCTCGCAGGGTCCTCCCTGAGCTCTCCTCTCTCCTTTCTTATTCTCCCTTTCCGTACGGATGTGTATGTCCTTTCTCAGTCCTGAGCGTTTACCCTGCATATGGTAACCGAATAATGAAAACAGGCGTTCTCTGCTGTCCTGCACTCCGGGAGCCTCAGTGAGCGAAGGGAACCTTTCCTCTCGGGGTACCTTTGGGACTTTTGGCGAGCCGGCCTTGGCAGTGCTCAGAGGCAATCCTCTACTCACTGTAAAGCTCGCTTTCACCCTGGACAGGTAGCCACCCTCTGTTGTATTTTTTCCAGTGTGCTTTTCATTTTTATTTATGTTTATTTTTTTTCTTTTTATTGAGTTTATTGGTACATTCTAGGTATATAAGACAGTTACATTCATTACTGGGATCTTGTACCTTTACACGATAGGTCTTGGTTCTCATTTTCCGGTGTCCTTTTTAAAATAACACAAGAACCCATAGAAACTGAGTGAGCTCAGAGCCCTCTTGTGTTTGCGTCTGCACAGCGAGGAGATACTCAACTCTGAACCAAAGGACAAGACCGATAAACGTTACTGCAGCTCATTGTACTTTAGAGACCTTGAGCAAAGCATTTCTTTGCCATTATCCGGTCCTATAGTTTCCCACTTGAAGTGGTTATAGTCATGGAGAATGGGTGGAGGACAAGCAATTGGGGGTGACGTTATTTTGTTCTGAATTAGAGAAGGGGTCTGTCTCTGAGATCACTTGTGAGAAGGAGGCAAGCGCTCGTCTGTTGTTGATTTTCTCCTTTGCCTGGAAGCAGAGGGCAAGGCGGGCAGGGACCTGATACAGTCGCTTTTGTGCTGAAACTCCAGGTAACTAGTCAATGACATTTACTAAGCGTATGCCTGAAATACTTTTAGTGGACTATACCTGGATAAGGGTAACTATCGTAAATAGAAGCCAAGAGCTGGGACATAAGGGTCTCTAGAAAATGCCTTGAAGGTGACATGATTTTCTGGGAGAACGAACTGGAGATGTTTCATAGTTTAATGAAACTCATAAGAAACCCTGTGACACCGTCTGTGAATTCATTTCATGTGGTCAGAGGGATGGGCGTGTCCAACACATGATAAAGGGGTCCAGCAGCTGTCCATCTTCCAGGACAGAACTGTGCCTGCCTCATGTAACCATTAGGAATCCCTTTGTGTGTTGCTATCCCTGACATTATTTAGTAAAGTTTCACACTGCATGAGATCTCAATTTCATGTTAGTCTGATTTTACAGTCTGACCCTGTGTGTTATTTCAAAAGAATTCAATTTAGCTTGACTTGTATATAAATACAAACATTATAAGGGCATTGGAATTATTGCTAACAATATTATCTTTGGTTAGCAAACAGAAAGATTTGCACACATTCCGTTTAAGGATTTGGCTTATCACATTAAAGATACAGGAAAGCAGCAGACATTAGAAATGGTTCGTGTCTTCCAGCTTCCTGCACAAGCTGGAACTGTATAGGAGTCGGTGGTTGGTCTGGGAGGTGATCCCCGGTGACACTACTAGGCCACTGGGCAGGAGCCAGGCAGGGGAAGCGAAAGCCAACCGCAGGACCTCAGTTTAAGGGAAACTCGGGCTGTGGATAAAGTCTGGAAGTCACCTGGAATAGTCACTTCAAGACTATCCTGCCCAGATGTTCGGTACCCACCTTCCTCCCAGGTGGGAAAAACAGACTCAGGGCTCAGAGGAAGGAGCAGCAGAAGCTGTAGATACTAATGCTGCCAAGGTGCCTGGCCCACTCTGCCTGAGCAGCTATTCTTACGGGTGGAAGCCGATGTCAGCATTTTAGAAACAAACAGTCCTGTGTGGATCACCAGGATGGGGGTGGCTCCAGAATGAAAGCCAAGATCAAAACTTATTTTATCCTTTTATTTCATTTTGTCTTTATGTTCAATGTAATGTTATAATACGTTACAGTTCTAATCATCGTACTGAATTAGTCTGTACACACCACATCTCGATCATTCATACTCCCCAGCTGCTTTAACCCCATCTTCACCATTTATTTGTATGTTTTCCCTCCTCTCTGGTCAGCCCTTGTGCTGATGGCTTCCTTGGTGGGGTGAGCAGGTGTTTGCCCAGAGGCCTGTGAAACTGTGGTGCTGGGCCATTCACATGAGGGTTTCAGCAGCCGTTCGTTCATAGTTACCCCAAACATGGGAGCACCTGGACCAGAACAAATGCTCTGAGTTCCATTCCCAGCTCCTCTTGTCTGCATTTCGTGGCAGAAACTCTCATGATAATCTCTTTTTTTTTTTCAGGCATAGCCAAGGGGTAGCAGGAACACTTTACAGTAGCATTTGGCAGTTTTCATGATGCGTGAAACCATGCCTGGTTCATACTATCAATGTGAAGTCAGCTGTCCTTAAAAATCCCTGTAAATGCAATCACTATTTGTTACCAGCACTTACAAGCTAGCTCCAGCACATCACGCCGTGGTTCAAAGAACCACAGTGAAAAACATAGTGTCTCATGAAAGACAATGCTCAGCCTCTATTTTCATCCCAAGCTGGAGCCTCACTCGTACATGCAAAAGGGCTGGAGCCTCACTTGCACATACAAAAGGTACTGGCAGTTCTTAGCAAGTTGGCAGCTCCAGTGGCGCAGCACAGGGCAGGCCCAGTGGACTCCTTGGCCACATATCTATTATTGAACTTTCTTTTCCAAATAATGGATTGCTTTGCTTAAGAGGATCCCATAATGAAAAATCAAACAGCATCTGCACGCAGGGTGAGTGCTACTGCATGAGGCACCAGGAAAAAGGAAATCCCATCCCTTATAATTATGGGTCAATTATAAGAAACAGTGTACCCTTCTCTAGGGAGATGGCATGCAGTAGAATAATATTATACACCAAATTCCTCCTGTGTCCTTGGAGGACACTGGGTTGGACTACTCCCTATGGGTTGGCCAATTATGAGTAGCAATAGCTACATTAGAATAGGTGAGAAAGAGCTCGTGTTCTCAGTCCCACGTGTACCCTTTCCCTGCCCTTCCTTGTCTGGACCCCATAGCCCCAGTGAAAGCTGAATGCATTCCCAAGGACAAATCCTCCTACCCACCAGTCCTTCAGCGCTTGCCCTGTGAAGACCCCTTCAGTGAACACTGACATGAAGGAGCCATGTGTACTTCCTGCTTCCTCCCATGCATCTGCCCTCTGTGTCTTCTTCAGAACTCGGCCTGAGGAAAGTCTTCCAATCTCACTCCTTCAGGGCCGTGGCCAAGCAGCCAAGCCCCTCACTGCTGCACAGAGGCCTTGTGTCTTTTGATCTGAGCCTCTTTGTTCCTCACTCCACGTTGATGAGCAGGTGCATTTTTTCTCAGGGTCCCTCAGCATCTTCAAGAGATTCTCCTGACGTCTGCTGGTTGCTGGACATATCCTGCAGCTCAGTTGCTAAACAATCCCTGTATTAGTTTTTCCATTTGGGCTGTACTGTGACTTGGTGTATTTATTGCCTAGAGCCATGAGAAGAGATGGGATGGACCACAAGGAGGGTCAGTGCCATCTTTTAGAGTCTCTAAGAACAGAGAAGCTACTGTCCTCTAAGTAGTGGAACAGGCTACATCTGCATACCAAGGTGTTTGGTGTTGATCTGCACCAAATTAAATCTCCTCATCCAAGTCTTAGGATTTCAGTCCCTGCTTCTTAATTCCCTGAATTGTACCTAGAAATCTGTGGAGGGTCTGGATGCAGAACTTTTGTACTCAGGTGTCTCAAAAGCAAATGCAATCCTGTTTTCTAGCACGTGCTAATACTCCTGCAGCAAGAAATGAGAATCTCTTTGTTAGCTGTCAGAGAGATCTTCTGGCTTGCTTTCTTCACTCTTAGTCCATAGCTGGCTGCTGTGAGGCTGACATCTCCTTCAGGGAAATTTGACACCCATCCAGTTCCAGCTTTTAGATTAGTATGGTCCCTGTGTCTCCCAGAGGCTTTGTGCATCCCCGTAAACTAGCCTGCTTGGATCACAAGAGAGAGAAATCTTAGCAGATGTGACTTCGCAGCACAGAGACCTTTCCTTTACTCTGGATAGCACTGGTCCAGCCGGGTACCAGGAACTCTCTGTTGCTGTATAGCTGCTGAATCATTCAGCTGTACAGGGTCTGCTTGCCAAGATCAATGCTGGGCTACTAGAGTCGGTTTAGATTGGGTTTCTTCAGAAACTGTCACCAAGACAAGGATTCAGGCTCACATATTTATGTGGAGAGCAGCTCTGAGGAAGTCGGTCAGAGAAATGTGGGAATTAAAGGCGAGAACTAATGAGTGATGCCTTATCAAGTAAGTGAGCCCTTGGTGACTGCAGCCTAGTCCTCTGGGTAACTCTGGGAATGAGTGTGGATTACATAGATGGGAATCATCCCTTCCAAGAGGGAAGTACGGTGGAGCACAAGAAATTGTTGACTCTTCCTGAGGGATATCGGTTGTCTGGCATTTCCAGCCAACCATGTGCAGTAGTGGAATGTAGGCTGCAGTCTCAGACAGATACACACCAGGTTGGCATGAACACCCATGTGAATGGAGCGCCAGTAGCACCGGCCAGAGTTAGAAACTAAACAGTGCTATCAATAAGGACCTTTAAAAAGGATTTCTGATGATATATCCTTTTGAGGCTTTTATACTTTCAAACTTTGGCCAGCAACTTGTGCTTCTTTTCTACTTAAAGAACTTCTATGGGATTGACATTGGAATTCTCAGTACTAACAAATTTTAAAGACCATGACTGTTCCTCAAAATATTGTAGTCTTTAAATGTTCATTTCTTTAGAGAAAAGTGTGAAGTAACTCCTTAAGAAGCACAATTACTAAGAAACACATTCTGGACTGGGGATTTAGCTCTGTGGTTCTGCTGCCTACTTTGCAAGCACAAGGTCCTGAATTGGATC